TATCCTAAAAATGATTCTCAGCCCGTCCTCTGCGTGCTGGACACGGTCAGTAATTAAATTTCTCTCGGTTTGGTTGCATTTAGATTTTCCTACCCGATTTCCTCTTTCTCGGTTCTGCCCTGTTTCTGCGATTTATTTGCTTTTTCCCCCCTTCTCTTCTGTTCCCCGTGTTTTTATCTTCCGCTTTTTTGGGGGGTTACACGACAAGTACTTGCTCGTCATTGTTATCCCTCGTGCTTTTTTTTTTTTCCCCCTTTGACTCCCAGCGGCCTTGTCTTCGGAAACATCAACCATTATTGGGTTTAGTGAAATAGGATGCTCACTATTAGTCTTGGGACAGAATCCGTGCCCCAGAGCAATTCAATTAATCCTACGTCAGGTCGCAGTTCACCGTTTCTTCCTCCAAATCGGATATCTACTCCTGAACCTCATCAGAGAATTCCTACTGGGCATAATTCACCACGCATGCACCGAGGTTGGTTACCACGATCACTTCCCCACCCGTGAATCGGCGTCACTTTCATCCCCGGGTCCTTCCTTTTTCATACGCTAGATCGTGAATCGGTTGGGGACACAACCCCCTTTATTTTTATTTTTTTTACCTTTATTTTTATACTTTTTTGCCCATGCTAATGACTCCCGTTTCTCAGGGAACTCCGCGCAAGAAGCAATGATGCATCAACACCAGCAACATCATCAACATCAGCAACAACAGCAGTATCAGCACCAGCACCAGCAGCACCAGCAGCATCATCATCAACAACAACAACAGCAACAGCAGCTTCAACATCAACAACATCAACACCAGCAGCCGCAACATCCGCCCCATCAACATCAACAGCCGCCGCAACATTCACAGCACCCACCACCACACCCCCAATATTCTCAACACCCTCCGCCTCCTCCCCCTCCTCCTCAACTCCACCGAGCAATGCCACCCCCAAGCTCCCCCCACCACCGGTTCTTTGGCGCCCCCGCAGTCACAACCACAGCCGCCCAGACCGCCTCCTCCTGGACACCACCACTCATCGGGCCCTGCGCATTCTTTTTTCCACCCAAGGACTAGTTGGGGTTCATGGGCGGATTTTTCCTTCCTTACCGAGCCTTGCCAAGCACGGACCGGTCATGGCAATTTATTTGATGTTGGGGACTGGCGATCTCTCCGCGGCCGCCTAATCCACAAACGGTGTACAATATATACTCATCAGTTGCCAGCCGCCCCTTCTGGACAAGCGGAGTTTTCCCCATTGAACCGCCCCTACACTCCAGATCTTAACGGCCCTACAACTACGTCTGGTCCAGATAGGAGCAGGGATGTCAGCAGCAACTCCGCTAGCCCGAGCACCGCACATGCTCCGTTACCGGGCGTCCCGGGATCCAAAAGCAGTAGAATAACTCCGCCAGAACATGCGCGCGGAGGCCATCAGCTACTATATCACCCACCACCCCCTCCTCGTGACCGTGAGCATAACGATATGCTTGCTATGCATAGCCCGCCACCCAGGCCTATGTCGCAGCCAAATAACCAAAGCATATCCAGCGTTCTTCAGGAGAGTCAGGGCCCTAGAGGACATGTGCGAAGCGAAAGCCATGGAGATAGGTATAGTGGATATTCTAAGGGAGGAGATAAGGCACGAGAGGAATTGCGTGAGCGTGAGGCCCGGGAAAGAGATTTCGAGATGGGCAAGGAGCGTCACATGTTGAGAGAAAGGGATATCGATCGCGAACGCGAGCTAGAGCGGGAAAGGGAGCGGGAGCAGGAGCGGGAAAGAAGGGCAAGAGAGAAGGAGCAAAGAGAGCATCAGGAGAGGGAAGCAAAGGAGAGGGAGAAGGAACAGCAGCGGGCACGGGAGGAAAGGGAGTTTC